TGTCCTATCTTCTATAAAGAGGGTCTCCGTGTTTCTTTTAGTAGCTCAAAAAAGGTGAGATTTCATGCTTGTTGCAGCCCCAATAGAGTCTAATTTCTCTCCAAACATTGCTACAAAAACTTTGTATGCTCAGGTAGGAACAGGTCACCATCATATATTTTTGGAGGCTGGGATTTCCACTCATGCTGTTCATTAGATGATTTGTAGTGTTTGATGCTAATTTTCATTTCAAACACCGCTTCCTTGAATAGAGGATGTGGTTTCTTAGATGCTGTACAAACTGCTTCCTCAACTTGTCCAGAAAAGTCCGAGAAGACATGAGGGGATGCAGTAATTCTTAGTACCACAGTTGGCAGGTACTTAAACCAGGAAAAGGAGCAACAATCTCCATCTAAATATCCATAAAACAAAGCATTGCAAGACTCCACTGGGATGTGCCTAAAAGAGGCAAATGAGAGCAACATGGTCTTTGCTCTAGCAGCATGCATTAACACCCAGCATGGCAGAATTCTAACCACCTCTTCTGAGAGCCATAACAGAGGACAATGAAAGGTTTCAGAGGTTCTCTGAAAAAAAAGGAAACCAATTTGCAATGAGCAGCTGCATTTCTATGAAGCTCTGCAAATCAGGTATCCCTATGGACTCAGCCCTGAGTCTCTCCAGCACATTTTTCCTCAGCTGGTGAATTCAATGATGTACATTTTTCACCCATGGGGATTAGAAGCTATTCCTAATTTCATAATGAGAAAAAGAGAATATATTCTCGTTTTCTCTTGGCACTTCCGGGGCATGAGCTCATGCAGAACTTTCACAAATTCTTCCTAATACAAGCAGGGAAGGATATTTGTAAGCAAAGAAAGCATTTAGCCCCTTTAGCAGAGAAAGGAACTGCTATTATGTAGAAAATATTCTGTCCTTCTGCAGGTATTGTACTCACCAGAGTTTGCTGGTATCGGAATGCTTTTGTTGGAGAGGCATCCCTAGTCATGTCCCCAGAGACAACCTTTTGTGGAGCAGGGGTTGCAATGTCTTCCCTTCTGATCTCCACTGCAAAATCATGGAGCGAAGCAGACGCAAGGCTTCAGCTAAAACCCACAGAGCACCCTGAGAGAGAAGGTTACTGGTGAGGGAAAAGACGGAGAGGGAGAGTGTAACCAGAGACTCCCTGCCCCCTCCTGTTCAATCTGTGCTTGGAAATGGCAGGCATTTCCCTGCTTTAATATCTCTGCTGCCCTGGCACTGGGACAGCTTAGTAAATTAACAGGAGGTAAGGTTTCCCTCTGCTTTCTCAGGCAGTATCACTCTTCACTGCATTTAGAAGGGGTCAACAGTGGGACCATTCAAAGAATGGGGGCTGATGACACAGACTTGAGAAGAAGAGAATGGAAATAAAAAATGACCAAAATTAGACAAGAGAACATTCCTGCAACTTGATCAGAATTATTCCTGTGATTTCCTTTAGAAGCAACTTTGTGAAGTGTTAAGCATCTAAGAGGGCAAGTTCTCTCAGCATTATTTGGAAGACTATTCCTTACATAAATTACATACTGTCCTTACATTTAACATAGTTTACCTTCAAGCGTACACATTATTGCTGGTTACCTGGCCATGATACCTCACCACAGATAAACCATGTTCCTCCTACTGTTTGAACATCCCTTCATGAATATTCATCCACTGATATAACCAGCACTCAGTATCATTTCAACTACTGAAAGTTCTCCTCTCCATTTTTCTTCCTTCTTTTAAAAAATTTTGCCCATCATCCTCTGAAGTGAATTTCGAGTTTTGAAACACTTAGTGATAGATGGATAGACAAAAAGAATAAACATTCTAACATCTAAATATGTCATCTAATTTCTGAGAACTACCTTTAAAAGAGTTCATATTTTTCTTCTCTTAGTGGATTTTCCTCTTAATCTCTGACTAGAAATGGCTTTAGAATATAAAGACAACCAAAAAATTATGCTGACGAAACACAATTTGTTATATTCAAAATCAGTCCAAAGCTACTCAGCACAGTCTGGAAGGGTTGATAGGATACTGAGAATGCAAGAACATCAGCAGAGGTGTTAAAAAGGGAGGTCCTCCTTTCTGTGTTTACTGTGTTTCCTGTGCCTTTACACACCCTACCCCACCCCAAACCCCGCAAAGGAAAAAAAAAAAATAATGGAGAGAGGAACTAAGAAGGTAGAATCTAGCGTCTCCCATAACCTGAGGCAGCAGCAAGCCCAGAGCTCTGTAGGGAACGGAACAGACAGGTGCGGTGCTTCCGCACTGATGGTTAGCTAAACTCTACCACATTGCCTCTCAATCCTCCTCCTCAGAGAAAGAAGGGGAGAAAATGAAAAAGGGCTCAAGATGTGAGATAGGACAGAGAGATCGCTCACCAGTTACTGTCACAAGCAAAACAGACTCAGCATAGGGAGAGTAATACAGTTTACTGCCTATTACTAGCAGACTAGAGCAGTGAGAAATTAAAAGCAAACTAAAACCACCTTCTCCCCAGCCACCCACTTCTTCATCTTCCCCCCTGAACAGCACAAGGGAACAGGGAATGGGGGATGCTGTCAGTCCCCAGCGCTTTGTCTCTGCCACTCTCTCACAGTCACTTTCTGCCCCCTTCTCCACGTGGGGTCCCTCCCACGGGATGCCATTCTTCCTGAACTGAGCCTGCGGGGGTTGCCCACAGGCAGTAGCTCTTCAAGAACTGCTCCCACACGGCTCTGTACCACAGGATCCATCCCCCAGGAGCAAACTGCTCCAGCATGGGTCCCCCATGGGCGGCAGCTCTCCCCAGACCCCCTGCTCCTGCGTGGGCTCCTCTCCACAGGCTGCAGCTCCGGCCCGGGGCCTGCTCCTGCGGGGGCTCTCCATGGGCTGCAGCTTCTTCCAGGCCACATCCACCTGCTCCACCGGGGGCTCCTCCATGGGCTGCAGCGTGGAGATCTGCTCCATGTGGGACCCATGGGCTGCAGGGGGACAGCCTGCTCCACCAGGGGCCTCTCCACAGGCCTCAGGGGGACTGCTGCTGCCTGCCTGGTGCATCTCCTGCCCTCCTGCTACACTGGCCTTGGTGTCTGCAGGGCTTTTTCTTACTCTTCTCTCTCCCAGCTGCTGTCACACTGCATGTTATTTTCCCTTTCTTAAATATGCTCTCCCAGGGGTGCAACTAGTGTTGCTCTGTGGTGGGTCCCTTTTGGAGCTGGCTGCAACTGGCTTTTATCTAACCTGGGACAGGTTCTGGATTCTTCTCAGAGGCCACTCCTGCAGACCCCCACAACCAAACCTCGTCATGGAAGCCCAGTACAACAGGTCACAGCTTTTTTCACAGATACCTGCTGTTTTTTTTCCACTGCTATCTGTAAAGCTTTTCAGGGAAATTTATGAATTCTATATAACTAGACAAAGCACAGTTACTTAGGGCAACATCGTGACTTTCCAAGCTATTTCTCCTACCAAATAAAGATAGGTTTTGTAAGGCTATATCAAATGTGAAAACACTTAGTTCATTAAGGTTATCCAGTCAAAGACCTTTCTAGTGAAGAAGGTGAAGCCACAAACAAAACTACATAGACCATCAAACCTGACAGAGAAGGGATAACGGAGATGATGAAAATGTCCAAAAGAGTCTAGTCACTTAATTGATCGGCCATTAAGAAACTACATAAATAGCTTATGGAGAGAGCCAGCCTAGACTTTGTAACTGATAAGAAGGACCATGGGACATAGCCCACGTGTCAGATGCTGGCTGCTGAGGGGGAGCATCAGTACCTTCCTCATACCTGGGCTGCTTGGGGGTGTGTGTGTAATTTGGTGGTGAACTTTAAATTGGACTAGTCAGTGAGTAGGAGGACCTGTGTCCAGTTAGGGGTACCAGGAGAGCAGAGGGGCAGTGTTGGTGTTCAAGGAGACCCATGAGTGTGAAGTGCCTGTGAAAGTGTCTGAGTGCATCTGTTTGCAAACAAGTATTAAGCTGGACTAGCCAGCAAATAGCAGACTCATGGAATAGTTAAGGCCAGGGATTGGACTAGCTAGTTTGTGTACATTTGTTAACCTGAAAATAACAAACCGTAATCTATATATTTTCTCAATGCAGCACAATATTTACCTTTGTTAAAGCACTGTTTCAATGAAATGTGATTTCTAAGCTGATTTCCACTTATCTTGCTTCTGAAGATCAGAATTTTCAGTAGTGACAAAAAGTCAATAGCCTAAACACAGTAATTCCAGTTATGTTTCATAAATTATGTAAGTCTGAATGTAACTGAGCTCTTTAAAAGATGCACTGAATTACACAGGAGGTGTCTGCTTAACAGTTCATGCAAAAATGTGGTCTGGAGACTTCAAGTGATACATAACAGCAACTATAAATAAGGTACGAAATGCAGATGAATGAAAAAAAAAACCACAACCTAGAGCTTTACAAGAAAGAGTTCTACAAGTAGAATTGGCAATAGCAGCACCAGTAGGCCAAACAGCACCGTGTAGGGCTTATTACTTGTTGCCAGTGAAGCCTGGCCTCACCAAGACTACTCCTGTGACAGTTTGATTATAACTTCTCTGGAGATTTTTTCATTCTTCTCCTTTAAAAGAAACCATTTTCTGTATACATACTCTGATAATACCATCACTTCATAATGAACTATTACATAGCAATATTATCTTTACTTGCTTTTCCTTCTCCTAAACTTAGTAATTTAGTGATGTAATGTAGTGAAAAACATTCTATGCTTTTTCTTCAGGGTTATGAGCATACTGCTCCCTGCAACGTGTACAGTGTATGTTAGGAATCTCAGCTTGGTGAAAATTTTATTTTACAAGATGTTTTACATATTTTCAGCCACATCTTTTGATGTTTTGAAAAGCATGTTTTCTTACAATATCATTCTGTACATCCTAATTTTTAAGGAAAGAACTATGACTTTTTACAAAGTCAGATACTTTGAGCATCTATCACTTTTTATAAAGGCAAATAGGGAAACAAAAACACTTCAGAATTATTATAACTGTAATAATTTAATGAATTGTTCCACAAATTAAAATGTAACTTCAGAATTTTCATGTAACTTAGATTTGTATATATACCTTACCTACATCTCATTCACTGTTTTTACTCCCCTTCCCACATAACAGAACAAAACTTTTAACCTTATTTTTTTGGTTTTAAGCCAAAATATGAACCAGTTAACACTTTCTTGCTAACCCAAATATTACAGTCATTCATTAAACTATGCCAGTAGCTTATATTTATTTATCTAAAAATACAAATATTATATTTACTTCATCTCTTGTATTACTAGAAACATTTTCTGCGCAGATAGATGTTAATAATTCCACTGAATTCCTACTGGATTTTCTGTATCAGAATTAGGTACTATTGAAAAAACAGTACACTCTTTTCATAAAAAGATACCTTAGCCTTCTAGATGTCACAGCTGAGAGAGTGAAACAACAAACTTTAGTGGGTATGGATAGTTTTTTTTTGTTTTTTTTTGAACTAACGAGAATGGGACTTTAATCTTCTTATTTCACATACACACACACTAGCTTCCCCCAGGTGCATTACCTAGGTCTCAACTCCCAGCAGTAAGAGATCACTGTTTATTTCTAAAGGAGGGCCAGAAAGCTGTGTTAGCTCTGTGCTGCACAGCTACTTGGAGTTACCAGTCTTGGCCGCTATGGGTCAAGCTCTCTGGGCATCCCTTCACACTAGTTTCCATGTAGCTCCGAGCCCGTGGATCTTCCCCAACACTTTCAGGATTTTTTCTCCAGTTCATATGTTCACCTCCTTTTTGGGTCCTTCCTCTTTCCAAAACTCTCTCTCCTCTCTCCCCCTCCCCCCCCCCCCCCCCCCTTTTTTTTTTCCTGGAAACCTTCTGGCATCAACTCTTCCTTCTGGAACACCAAGCCCCTGGCTTACCCAGTCTAAGTATTCTACGCGCTGAATGACAATATCAGCCTCACAGTTGATGGTTCTATTTCATGTATCTTTATCCATTTATTAAGTTCTTTGTTCAGCTGTTGCCAGACTTAACAAGTAGCCCATACTGGATCCAGCTAGCAAGAAGCAGGATTCTGCCTGAGAGTTCAGAAGTACCTCTGGGAGGTATTATCTTAAGAAATTATGCAAAATTCTCCTTATACAGAAGTTCCATTTCTGCATAGAGGTACAGTTCTCCAAATGGAAGATACTGCACAGATTAATTAATCAAACAAGAATTCTTTATTTTGACACCTCAAGGCAGTAAAATACAAGTATACAAAAAGTATATAAGAAAGTGGCAGTGATAATGCATTTTGATGCAATCCTACAAAAATCTAAGCTTCCAGAGTGGACTGCTTTGTCAATTTATGTATCTGTAAAATATTGCACCATTTCAAAGAGGGAGCACTGAGGAAGGAAGTGTTTCTACTCCACGGAGGTACAGCTGCAGGGCCCTATAGCGGTATCTTTAGACTAAGGCAACAATTGGCAGGTATGATTCTTCTTCTGTTTATCACATGTTGTATGTAAGGCAAGTGCAAGATTCATATTAGTGCTACACCTTTGTCAGCTGGAGAAAACACAGCCTTTGTTTTCCTGTGCAGAACAATAAAAAAGCACATGCCTAATTTTCCCGCCTCCCTTCATATCTCTTTGTGCTTTCTATTCATAATTCTATCCTCAAAGAAACATAAAAAAAAATCAAACAAAAACAAAACAAAAAAAAAGAAAACAAACAAACAAAAAAACCAACACAACACATAAAGAATACTCCAGGAACTATGCTAACTTACTGCTGCAGAATGGAGAAGACAGGGACTCAAGTGTACAGATTGTAGCCCATACATAACGCAGTATATCAGAATTTAAGCTACTGCAGAAAATGTTAATGCCCACCTCCCACCATTATATCACATGGGAGTAACTGCAACTGGATATAGGCAAGAGGCAAATTACAGCATGAAGAGAATGAATAGGAAACTTCCAGACAAAGTTTTGGATTATAGCACATTTCTGATTGACCAGTTGAAATGACACTTTCCAAACAATATTAGCTAAACAAACAGCTTTAAAATGATCATAGCTGAAAACTCATTTATCAGGATATTAATGTGAAACTCTACCCTTTTAAATGAAAGGGAAACAGACTGCAGTGACCAATAATATAAGCAACATGCTTAGACTGTAAAGAGCTGCCTTGAATATTTTCATTAAAAGAGATCCCTTTCCATAAGGCTGTAGGATTTCAGGGATTCAGTTATACAGTGCAATTTATAGACTCCTGAGAAGTTGGTGAAGTGTCTGAATGCTATGCCTGTTGTGGCATATAGGTACTATAGCAAACAAAATCATCAAAAGTAATGCTCTGTACAGTTGTTTCCACTTGGACTATGGTGAGCTAATCTAGAATTTCTGGATTCAAAATTATTTCTGGAGCATTTTAATGAGACTCATCTGTATGAGAAATACTGGATTTCCATTCGTTTTTCTAATAACCCAGGATGTCTTGCATAACTCTTCTAGAGTTCTCTTGATAACCTGACTACAGAAAAAATGCACAAAAATAGACTTACAGTGATCAAGACGGTAGTAGTGGTAAATGTCAAGTACTGAAAACAGTAAAACTCCATTTTAGAGAGAAGGACTCTCCTTCACTACAGAGTTCTTCTCTAATGTACACAGAACCTGACTGTCATGCATGAAGAACCAGGCAGAAAGTACTTAAAAAATAAAAATAAAAGCATAAGTAGCATTTCATGAAACTTTTTCTTTTTAAAAATACTTACCTTTTCCAAAATTGGTATGAATAGTCTGTTTCCCTTTTTGCATTCACATTTCTAACAAATGTCCTTATGTCTCATTCCAAAGGATGTTCCCACATTTTCCTAGTTGCAATGCTGATCTGTTTTCATCAATGTCATACATATGGAATAAATCAGAATATTAGAATTTTAAAACCTGAACTGAATCAGATTACAAAGAGTTGCTAAATTATCTTAGAAAAGGACATCAATAATTGGTCTGGCCAAACATAAAGATGCGTTCCTTGCTTGGGCATCTGATGCCACAGCCCATAAGAACAGAAACATAGACATCCATATTCAGAGTTCAGTTTTGGCAGTATCTCTCTTCCAGTGGAGCTGGCAGGGTTATTTGCCTGGCAGATAACCAGGAAATAGGTAAAGGTCCCGACAGAGTGTACTACAATATTCTGACATTTCCTTGCAGCGGTGGAATTCTGTGCCTGGGGCATAACCTTCTCGTTGCTTGATTTGTCTATTCACCTAAAAATAAGATTAAAAAAAAAAAGTGACTGTAAGGATTAAGAAAATGGAAGTAAGGAAAGCGTCATCGCTTTCCTTACTCGCAAATTATTCTGCTTATTTTATTAATTAGTTGCTGGTATACTGGTTTTCTAAACTACAGGAAGGATAAAGAACTGGGGTGCAGTTCCACAGTAGCTCAAGTTACTGTGGTCACACTGCAGTCTTCACTCTGTCCTCCCATTTTCTTAAATCTTTCCCTTATGTCAGTACAAATGTTTGCTGCTACGTACCAAGACAGTTCAGGCAATGAAATCCACCTGAAAAAAATACTATTTCTATCTAAGAAAAGTGGTGCTTGGCAAGTCAGATTAATTCTCCTCCTAAATTCATCATGTGGCCACACAAGTGTAATGGGAAGAGTCAAACACTGCATTTTTTACTTTGATTAAACTGATGTGGAATTGAATATAAATACATATTTAAATGGGAAAGGAAGTAATAATTTTGCTATGAATGGAGCAACAACACTTACTTAAAGCTTATATAAGTCCTAGCAAGCTGAAGCAACAGAAGGTTCTTCAGAAACCAGGTAAGTGTGGGAGTGGAAAGGCATTACATCTCACCTTCACCAACATGTCAGCCACGTGAGTGTCGCAGGAGTCCTCTGCAAACACCGAGGTGAGTGCCTCAATATACCAGGATCCACGTCTGGTGTTTCGCATGGCTGCAGTGCCTGAGAAGAAAGAGAGTATACAATGAAGTTCCTGTGGAAGACAGACACAAATAAACTCCTTAATCTCTAAGAATTAGTGCCTCTCCCCAGTACCTTTCAGACATGCATATCCACAGATCATATCTGAGCATGTAGGCAGACGCAGCTTGACATTTTCTTCCTTGTTTGCATCACTTTCCTCACAGCCTGGGGAATCTGACCGTTCTTTACCATCTCTTTGATCCACTCCCCGGTCTGTCTCATCTAGGGGGGGAAGAAGGAGGGGGAAGGGTGTGAGGGACAACAAATAAGAAGGAAAAAAATAAATTATAAGAAAAGAAGAAATTATCTTAAGAAATTACTGGATGTAGTTTTCCTTACTTTTGGGCCCCTGTCAGCAATGCCACAACTAATGTCAAGATGAAAGCTTCTGTGTGAACAGTTAGCTTTTTCAGCTGTTTTAAAAACTCATCTGAAAGTTCTCCTGCACAAACTAACACAGACACCAACAAGTGCTGAACTTGTTCAGTATAATGCAACTGATAGTCTACATGGCAATTGATTTTTTTCCTTCTTTCCCATGCGGATTAATATAGATAATTGGCAAAGCAAAGAAATTTCTGAGAGTTCTTCATGATCGGTGGAAGGATTTGATACCTAGCCCTAAAAGCTTCTATTTTCAACTTTTGCCTAACTTAGAAATTCAAAAAATGACTAGTCTAGTTTGCGGTGCTTAGTACCTACTTATTGCAGTATGCAAACAAGAGCTGTAACATTAGTTGCTATGGTTTAACTCCAAGAAAACATTGACCAAATATCTCACCTTCAAAATCCTGACTATAATACCATTTGCTTCAATCAAAACCATAATATGTATAATAGGAAAATGCAAAAATATTTTGACTCCAAACACTACAGACAGACATCTACAGTACATAGACTTTAAAACCTGGAAAACATTTAATACCCTTTCTAGGATTCACTAATATGTATTGTGACAATTCTAGATAGACTCAATTGTTTGTTTACATGATACAGATTTTCCATTGTAATCTAGACTAACAATAGTGGCAATAACATTAAGAGTCCAGCTACGTTGCAAGAAAAATAAAACTACATTTTTACAGGCTTTCTATATAATTTTGCCCTTTTGTTCTTGTATTATAAGACAAAAATCTACTGCTCTACTTACTTCCTAACAGCGTGAATTAGATTCTAGATCTAGGAAGCATAAGCATCCACTTCAGAGGCCTTCCTGTTATGATAGTGCTAGGTCTCTGTTGCTATGTTGTACCTAAGAAAAGTGTTTGGATTTCTAACCCTTTTACAGGCAGTGGCACTAGTTGCATCTTGTAAACACACACAGGACATGGTCAGTTCATAATGCAGCAAGATGGTTCTTCTTTTCCTCCAAAATGAAAACAACAGCAGGAGAAGTGTAATTGTCTACATAGGCAATTACAAAAAAAAGGCTACATATAGTCTATGATTACGGTTCCCTAGCTCAAAATTTAGTGAGTACTCCATCATGTTTCTTCCTCCTCTCTTTAAGATAGCAATGCATTTTTTTTTCCATTTTTAAGCACACTTTTTTTCCCCATGCCTTTTATCACTCTTCTCCAATCCATTTTTGTTCTAAGTGATCTTAAAACTTCAGTGTACTGTTCATAGCATGTTACTTCAGATAAGAAGGTAATTTTATAGTCAAGCTATATTAGTCACGCTATCATCGTTCCATATTCCAGTGTATCAAATCAAATTTTTTTTCATTAAAAATTTAGAACTAGAGGTCTTCTTTATGCATGTCTTCAAACATCATTCCAATCAACTTACTAATGTAACTAAAAAGTATAAAGCATTAACTATGTCAATATATTACTTTGCATATTCAAGCTCTAATTTATATCACCAATAACTGCTATCCAAACAGATCCAATCTGTTTAAAATTCTCTCAAGCTCCTACGTTTCACTTTTCCCAATTGATTTCAATAATTGCCAACTGCACATTTGTCAATATTTATCACAGTTCTCCACTTTTATGAACCAACTATATTAAACAGAGATACTAAACAGCTTTAAAGCCTCAGTTGATGTAATGGTGAAATCTGACTAGTTATCTTTTCTCACTGATTTTTGTCACCATTGTTTTTTGATCCATGACAGTAACTGGACTACAATTTTTTAGTAGACTCCCTCCAAAGGTCCTTTGGAAATGAAGTAGACCATATCGACTCTTCTTTATCTACATTTTTTCATATGTCATTAATAGAAGAAAGATGAGGCTTATTACATATAGTTAGTGGAAAAATATCCTCTGCATTTCTCATTTTACTTCAACTGGTTTCAGCTAACTTGCAAAGCATAGAGGTATTGATTACTAATCTACTACTTGTCCACACTACTTGGACAGCCTTTTAAATACATTTTTTTCCTTTTTTTTTTTTTTTTTTTAAGCAGCATTGTCTAGTCTAACCTTTAAACGCAAGCATCAAAAGACATACATTTTGTTGACAGCTCAATTGCTTCATAACTAGTATTCCTCTCCGACTATTAATCAAGCTTTATACATGGGGTTAAAAAATGTATTTATATAAAATAAAGTTGTTTTTCCCCTTTCAGATGCTCAAGTCTCAATCCTTTGCCTATTGCAATATCCCAGTTCTGCAGCATTCTGCATAGCAAGCTTCTCACTCTTTCCTAAAATTTTTTTTGGGAAGAGGAAGGCCAAACAAGATGTCTTAACATGAACAGATCCATTATAGTAACATTACAGTCAAATAAACCTAATTACCTAATAGGTCAGCAGTCAATTCTGGCTTATTACACTTATTTCTATACTGTTAAGAATCTGCATGTTCACATTTGTTCAAGAATATTTAAACATTCAATAACATAAGGAACAGAAATGCATTGAATATATAGTGTAAAGATGCACATTAAATATTCCCAAATGCTTAAAGAATCAAATATTTTTGATACTCAAATATACTCAAATATTTTTGATACTTTACCTAGGCTTTATAGTTTTTCCCATATTAGGATGAAATATGGTAATCAGTGAAGGAAACATGCTCTTGCCTAGAGGACAAACTATAAAGCTCAGCTTAAAATGGAAAAAAAAAAACCAACAGAGAAAATTAAAAACAAACAAACAAAAAAAACAAGAAGGGGAAAATGCATACTTGTTAGAAAAGAGAACTTTTCTATCATAAGAGAAAAAAACAAAGCTTTTTAAGACAGAACTTCTCTTTGGAGCACTTGTGGTTTCACAGCTATCCTTTTAAGTCCACTTTAGGGAAAAATTTGGCCATTATCAGATCTGAAAAGCAGTTTGTTATAGACATATATTTAGTTACAACAGGAAGAAAAATGAATAGCAAAATTAAGAAAAAAGTAATAGGAACATAAAGAGTGGTAAAAGAACAAATTAAGAGAACAATTTTATAATCACAATAGTATGTGAAAAAAAGATTGAAAGCAGGACATTTGTAAAAGAAAAGAAAACAAAACAAATAAAGCAAGTAACAGCTAATTTTGATAGCTCATGAGACAACAAAACAAGAGACAACATATCCAGGATCAAGTGAAAGACAGGTATTCAGACAAGACTCCAGTGCTAGTGTACCACGCCATGCTGTGCTGTAATTTGATGCACCGTAAGCCCCACTCCCCCTATTGCAGATGTAGCAAGAGAAAGTTTCAATATATGAGTGGGCTGTGATAGAGCGTTACATCTGAGGTGCTCTGGGGTCTGCAAGTCAATGCACACACCTCATGCAGAGCAAAAGACACTTACAGAGCAACAGATGCAGTGGCAGCAGCAGGGCAGAGGGAGGTGAATATGGATCCCACTTACACCTGAGAGAAGCAAAGAGGAGAGTTGACAGCAAGTTGAATGTGAGGGTGTGTGTGTGTAAAATGAGCCTTAATGGCATGCCAAATCATGGCTTCCAGTATTTGGGCACTCACCTCCCCGGCAGGCTTGAATAAAGAACATTTTGGGCTTATTCTGGAGATACGGGCAGTTTGCATTATCGAAGAGCCGGAAAGCTTCCTGCAACTGAGAGAAGCAAAAAAGCTAAGTATTCTTTATTGCAGCCTTCTGTGAGCCAAACTCAGTGTCACCTTGTTTCCCTGTATTTTAGTTATTACCTCACTACTCTTGATATTTTATCCTTTACCTACTAACTCTGTGACAAATATCCACCGCACCCCAAGCTCCTATTAGTTTGAGATCATGCACTCTACCTAGTACATGTAACAGGAAGAGAGAATAGGGTAATAACTTTCTTATCTGGCATATATCTATGTCATTCCTTATCTTATAGACTTCTCATAGCTCTCTCTGCCATTTTTTTCCCACAAGCTCTTATTTTTGCTTTTTTAAAAATGTAAATCCTCAGCTTCCCCATCAATTCACTTTCCTTTTTTTTTTTTCCTTCCATTTTTTACTTTCCAAGATGTAACCTACAACACACCAGGACAAAGTAATATACCTGTAGCAGTTTGCCATCAGTTCCATAAACTCCACCCTCTACACCGTGGGAAAGTAAAGCTACTACACAGGAATCCACGTGTCGATGATCTGGCAGCTTAGAGAATCTCTCCAATGCACTCTGCATTTCCTGGAAGAGAGAAAAAATGCTTAATCCTTCCCAGAATTACACAGGGAAAATGGGCTAATGTGAAGGGAAAAATAAAAATGGCCCTCCAGTTACAGAATAAACTACATACATCAGATTTACAGGACAAAAGACATCTGTTTCATAACAAATAGCAAAATGTTGTTTTTCGTTTGTGCATTGTTCGGTCCTAAGTATGACATTGTTTAGTAGGAATAACTTAGGACTTCTGCTTTTCCATACTGTCCAAGAGGGGGACAAAGCAAATACCAGAGTTGGTATATGTGGATTTAACACAGGAGAAGGCAACTGATACTTTACACAGGTTTTATACTGACACTGGAGTCTGGCTGGGATATTGGACCATCTTAACAGATACATATTCTGGTACTTTAGACATTCAAATATGATCAAAACACATCAACTATTTAAGGCAGAAAACTTCAGGAAATATGATAACGTGGCAGGTGTGGAAGACTCAGAATGTTGTAAACGCTGCCTTCTTGAATAAAACACTCTTTAACAGGTTCTGTACCACTTAAATATTTGCAAACCATAACTGTTAGGACAGCAGAACACTGGAAAGGGCTACCTAGAGTAAACTGGAGCCTGTTCATTCTCAGTATTAACACACATGGCAGGTGTGGTCTAGATATTCTTGCACCTCACACTACAAAGGCAGTACCTCTTGTGGTCCTTTGTGATCCTATTTGATATATGGTAACTCCTTTGCCTTCCAAGTTTCTTATTTTTGGTATGCTAGCAGACATCATCCCACTTAGCTTCCTTTTCTATTCAAAAGTGACTACTCATGTCTTTCTGATCAAGCTTAGCTAGACCAAAGCAGACTTCTTAAGATGCTCATGTAACAGCTACAAATTCAGCCATACTGTTTGTGAAGTACTAGGATCCCCCTTACCTCTGCACTTTGATCATGAAAGACAGTCACTTGATACCCAAGATTCTTGAAAAGCAGCTCCAGGGAAGTACAGTCCACATCTCCACCTGAGCGATACTCCAAGTCCTTCTCACAATTGAAATTGACATTACTGAGAATAAGTGCTAAGCCTCGGGGCTCCGATATCAGTTTATATGCCTGAGAAGAAGATTTAAAATTGGTGAATTTAGACTACACAAGGAAATAATATAGTCTCAGAGTAGAACACTAAGCCCTATGTCCTAGCTTGATTACTAATAATATGCAGGATTTCTACTTTGAGAAGGCATGGTAGAGGTCAAAAAAGTGTGGTTCAACATAAAAATGTTTATATTGCAAAGGGTTTCAAAGGCAACTGTTTCTGCAAGTCTCCACAACTGATGATCTTACAAAACTATTAATAAAATGTTGTAATACCTTCCCTTATTTCTCATTTTAAAAGGAACACAGCTTACACATTTCATACTGTGAATTAACTCTTGCTAACGTTTTTCTCCTTCTTTCACACACACACCAGTATGACCACACATATTTTCATCATACCCATTGAAGGCCTAGCACAACATTAGGAAAGACTGAGCTAACATTTCTTAAATTTGGTTGGGACCAAGTAGAGATACAAAATACCATGTGAACGTAACGGTAGCAGAAAGGGACAATGAATCGCTGGTTCTCAAAGTTATGAAGATGTCAAAAAATGTTAGTAGGGAAAAGAGCTAATTTAGGAAGGGTGTCTTCAAAACAAGCTTGCCTCTTCCACTCTAACAACGAACCAATAGTAAATAGCAATAGCAAATCCCTGTAATCCAGAAGTAAATTTAATACTGAAGGACCTAAATTGGAAGTAAATTTTAATACTGAAGGACCATATCAAATAGGGTGTAAACAGACACAGATATAAAAAGAGGTGAATTAGGCTCACACTGATGTTGCCCAATTGTAACTTTCTGTTGGGGAAACCTAAATAAAGCAAAACAAAACCTGCTTTGCCTTGTGACAACATAGAGCCTTTAACAGAAATGTTAAGCATTAGCATGTAGTGTAACCCTAGTAAAGCGTCTGCCCTATTACATGAAATGCTTAGTTTTCCTTAAGCCTATACCATCACCACAACGTATGCTTTACGAACAGAACAAACAAGAAAATAATTATGACTACCTACATAACTTCTCCAGCTAAAGAAAAGGATTAGAAATTCAGATTGTTCTACCCAGGGCTGCACAGAACTCTGATCTAATTTTTGTGCCTAAGGAGACATTTCCCAATACAGTTAGCAATTAAAACAGCCAAGATTGTGGCAGTGTACTGAAAAACAGTTCTAATATTGTGCAGACATTTGCAGAGTGTGTCAGCACACAGAACACAAGAGAAGGCAGATGGGGATGCAAACAAATAAATATGAGGTAGTAATATAGACAGCTTACAAGCACAGAGCAACAGAACAGAAGGCATTCCATGAAGTTCTTCATAAACAAAACCCAGAGACAGAGATTTGTACAGAATTACAGAACTTCTCAGAATTTCTTATCACTTGTAAATGAGAACTACGTCAAATCAAATGTGATTGGTAAGAGCTCTCAGTTACAGCAAGAGCGTAACACTAATCTGCATCCCAATGAAGTACGTTTCAACTCAGTTGTAAGTAGTACATGTTCAGTTGATATATTCAAATACCTCACATTTTAAAGAGATTTCCTCTGTCAACTACTTACCAAGTGCTGGTGATCATGATAGAATTCTGGAGTGCAGTGCTTCACAGGAGGAATCGGTGGACCATCTCCATTATCCAAAGAATGCTCCACTGGTTCTATGCAAAAACAAAATGCCAATAACAACAACAACAAAAATACTAACTGAAAAGGTAGTAATTTACATATTCATAAGTACATATTTATGAATGTCTAAAAGCACATTCCTATATTATTCTATCCATATGTCTAAAAATGTTGTTTCATCAGGGACTGTACTCACACAATGAAACACAGCAGAAAACAAACAAACAAACAAACAAACATACTGGTACGGTATACCTATTTATTGTATTTTTAATTTGCAAAAAATGTTAATTTTCTGTCTCATTTGTGGGTTAACATAATGTCTATCAAGTTTAGTTCTAAAGAGTGTGAAAACAGAGTTTATATCTAAAATTAGAGCAGTGTGCTTTTCTGTCATTTTGTACAGTATCTCATCCATTTCCCAGTAAGGTTGATGAAATTACTAGAAATATTAAAATAGAAAAGTGCTTTTCTTTCCATAAAAGATTCCCATTCTCACTAGATACAATTCTATTTCACATTTTATGCTGAACAGGTACATTAGTGATCAAACTAGACATTTCTAATTTCCATGAAGTGCAACACTCTTGTTTTTTCTTTTAGTTTATCTGCCTTTGAACAACCCTTTGCCTCTGGTCAGCAGCAGATAAAAGGAATGAGAGTTAACTAGTTGCCATTTACAGACATTCTTTCCCCTGTCCTGAAGAAACTGAGCAAATACCATTCATGGTCTCTTGAAATCCTTTTTTCAGAATTTTGAGATATGGTTCTCCCAGCTGGAGGACCATATACTTATACTGGTTTTATATGGAAAGGATTTGATAGTGGGGGTCTGCAGGGGTGGCCTCTGTGAGGAGAGTCCAGAAGTTGCCCCATGTTAAGATAAAAGCCAGCTCTTGCTGGCTCCAAAAGAGACCCACTGCTGGCCAGAGCTGAGCCAATTAAGTCATGCTGTTTGCACCTCTGTGAAAGCATATTTAAGAAATGAAAAAAATGCTGTGCAACAACAGCTGGGAGAGTGAGGAGTGAGGAAAAGCCCTGCAGACACCAAGGTCAGTGCAGTAGGAGGGCAGGAGGTGCAGAAGTTCCCCTCCAGCCTGTGGAGAGGCCCCTGGTGGAGCAGGCTGTCCCCCTGCAGCCCATGGGTCCCTCATGGAACAGATCTCCACGCTGCAGCCCGTGGAGGAGCCCCCGGTGGAGCAGGTGGATGTGGCCTGGAGGAGGCTGCACGGAGAGCCCCTGTAAGGAGCAGGCCCCGGGCCAGAGCTGCAGCCTGTGGAGAGGAGCCCACGCAGGAGAAGGGGGCTGGGGGGAGCTGCCGCCCACCCATGGGGGACCTGTGATGGAACAGTGTGCTCCTGAGGGATGGGCCCCGTGGTATGGACTCATGTTGGATCAGTTCTTGAGCTGCTGTTTGAGGGAAGCCTGTGCAGGGATCAATTCAGGAAGTATGGAATCCCCTGGGGGGACCCCACATGGGCAGCCCCCATTCCCTATTCCCTTGTGCCACTCGAGGATAGGACATAGAAGAGGGCAGAGAGGGAGAAGGTGTTTTTAGTTGTCTTTTAGTTTCTCACTGCTCTAGCTTGTTAGGAATAGACAATAAACTGTATTACTCTCCCTACGCTGGTTCTGTTTTGCCTATGACAATAATTTTTGAGTGACCTATCTCCATGCCCTCATCTTAACCCTTGAGCCCTTTTTATTGTCTTTTCTCCCCCTTTCCTTCTAAGGAGAGGGAGTGAGAGAATGGTTGTGGTGGAGTTCAGCTGCCCATCTGGGTAAAATCACCACCACAGTGCTCTATAAAAAAACTATAACCTTTGTAGATTTAAAAAAAAAAAAAAAAAAAGCTTTGAAACCTGTTCTTTAATACCAGAGAGAGCTCCTAATAACCAGCACACTGTTAAAGCTGTGGTTAGGATGCATGAGTACTCTCCACGTGTTACCAGGTATAATATAAAAACTAACAAGGAGATTCATTCCTGACGTAAGTCACAAATTCTTGCTAAAGAAAAGTTGATTTCCTGAATTCAGTGGGAAGCTACAGCAGTCTGTGTTGGGCCCACCTTACATACCACCTTAAAATAATTTTTTAAGAAGAAAGTCTAAGTTATGGAATACTGTCAATAATCAGTATCTTTCCACAGCTCTAGCTCACTTATACTCTCTTGTAAATTTAAATGAAGAAGAAAACCCTTGAAGATCTAAAATTTTACAACTGACACATTCTATTTAAGCAATTAAATTTCCTGTAAGAATAAATGAAGCTGACTAGAATTAATTAGGTTCTCTTTCCACTATGCTATTTAAATATAATTTTCCAGCCTGTTTCTGCCTCTTGCATCTGATCATAATGTAGTCAATTCATTTACAAGTTTGTATTCTGAGGATGAGCAAAGTGGTGGCAAGCTTATTTCTAAAATTGAAATAAGAGAGTATTAATAAATTAGAGTCAATCAACCAGACAGCCAATTAGGTATTCATGATGTAACGTGTGACTCACCAATCCAGCGTGGCTTCTTTGAATTACATGATTCACTTGAAGGGAGTGGTAGATCTGATCCATGAAAGTGTTCAACCTACAAGACATCCAATAAATCCATGAAAAGATTAGCAAAATTCTTTTCACTATCTTTTTATTCTAAGGCTACTGCAAGTTTCAGTTTGTAACTAAACCACATCCTTTCCACTATAAGCATTTTTTTCTAAACATTTGAAAAAAATGCCTGTGTGCCCAAACCCAACCCCAAATGCAGCCCATCCATTTTATTTTTTAAAACTGACATACCTGTGCAATCCCATTGCTTAGGTTGGATTCTGTCTTCAAGATTATTTCCTCCAGATGCTGCTGTTTGGTTTCTCGTAGAGCTTCACAGAAGGCTGAGAATGCATAAGGGCCTCTCTTGGGCAACAAATTGAGGAATTCCACGTTTTGGCTGAAGCTCCCAGACTTGGCCTAGATCCAGAGAAGAAACAAATCCAACACTCAAAGTAACACGCCAACACAATTCATTTTCATTTCAGTTAAGCTTCAGAACAACTCAGTCTTTTTCCTTCATGTAAATGTCCTGTCACCATGCTTTGCTGTGCTATATCCTTTTTTACAGCTTTTCCTAGCTGATTTCACTCCCACCCCTCTGTTCCTACTATCTCAAGGGGGAGAGTATATGACAATGAAGCAAGCCAACAATTCATACATTTCCACACACAGTAATACACCCTGTTCTCTCTGTGTATCTCAATGTGTTTATGGTCTCAGGCACTAATACACAAATCTCTTGGAAAGTGTGAATGAAAATATTTATTTCACAGTCAATTCCAGAAAGACACTATATATGTATAATGTGTTACATTTACACAAATGAAGCAATATATGGTAGTATACAAGAAAAAGTAACAATCAAAAATTAAATTTACATTTCTGTAAAACATTCACGGGAAGTTCTAATTTTTAGCATGTTAGCAGGACATCTGCTAACAAATTGTCTAATTTATAAAAGCCTTCCCTGTGTAGAAAACTGAAACATCACATACTAAAATATTGGCTACTAAAAGTAAGTTTTATGGGTTCCATGGAATTGACCTTCCATTTTTAAAATTATCACTGTGATCCAAGATCTCTTCATTTTTTTAATGATACGAAATGACTGGTGAGTTACACAGAACCAAACACTAACACTGCACGAGCAAAAAAATCAGACAAATCACCTTAAGGCACATGTGTAAATCCTATGCTGCACAAGACTTTTGCACCATTATGTTTTCTTTCATAAAATATATTTAGCTTGTTCTTCAAAGCAGTTTGGCTTTTGTCCTGCAGCACTGGAACGATAATGCAAAATCTTTTTGATCTAATGCTACTACTAAAATTTCAAGCTACGTTCATTCATGATTGGCCAAGAACTCTTATTTTTGTATCAACAATGTCCCTTGACTTCAGTGTTCTGTCCCTTTCATTACTTAACAAACTTCTTACTAAAATCAAGTCTATATTTGCTGGATTGTCACACTCAAAGATTTGTGGTCAATGGCTCAATGACCAAGTGGAGGTCAGTAACGAGTGGTGATCCTCAGGGTCAGTATTGGCACCGGCACTGTTTTAACATCGTTGTTGGTGACAGTGAGATCGAGTGCACCATCAGCAGGTTTGCTGATGACACCAAGCTGTGTGGTGCAGTTGACACACTGGAGGGAAGGGACAGGCTTCTAGAGGGAACTTGGACAGGGTTGAGAGCTCGGCCTGTGCAAACCTGATGAAGTTCAACAAGGCCAAGCGCAAAGTACAGCAACTGAGCTGGGGCAATCCAAAGCACAAATACAGGCTGGGTGGAGAATGGATCAAGAGCAGCCCTGAGGAGAAGGACCTGAGGTTGTTGGGTCCTAAGAAGCTCAACGTGAGCTGGCAATGTGTGCATGCAGCCCAAAAAGCTAACCATATCCTGGGCTGCATCAAAAGAAGCATGGCCAACACATTGAGGGAGGTGATTCGCCCCCCTCTACTCCACTCAGGGGATCCCACCTGGAGTGCTGCGTTCAGCTCTGGGGCCCCCAGCACAAGAAGGACATGGAGGTATTATAACAAGACCAAAGGAGAGCCATGAAGATCAGAAAAGGGCTGGAGCACATCTCCTATGAAAATAGGCTGAGGGAGCTGGGGTTGTTGAACCTGACAAAGAGAAGTCTCTGCGGAGACCTTACAGCAGCCTTTCAGTACGTAAAGGGGGCCTACAAGAAAGCAGGAGAGGGTCTCTTTTCCAAGGAGTGTAGTGATAGGACAACTAGTAATGGCTTTCAACTAAAAAAGGGTAGATTTAGATAAGGTATTAGGAAGAAATACTTTACTGTGAAGGTGTTGAGGCAATGGAACAGGTTGCCCAGAGAAGCTGTGGATGCCCCATCTGTGGAGATGTTCAAGGCCAGGTTGAACGGGGCTTCGAGCAACCTGCTCTAGTGGAAGGTGTCCCTATCTGTGGCAGAGGGGCTGGAATTACATGATCTTAAAGGTCCCTTCCAATCCAAACCATTCTGTAATTCTAAATTCCATGCTTCTTTCACCTCCCTTAGCTCCTTGGTTTATTTCACTTCCCTTAGATGACAAAAGTTTGTTTATTTCCAGAACCAATTTGTTTATTCTTCCATTTTATTTTAAATCAAAGAAAGATATCACCAGCATATTCTTTTTTTTTTTTTTTAAAGACAAGATAATTTAAAACAATTATTTATCTAGATCTTGTCGTTCTATGACTTTTTTTTTTTGAGTGGGGTAAGGTGTACATAGAAATTAGATACTGACAAACCCAGGAAAACCTATGCTCTATTGTCAGTGGCATTCCTTTCCTGCTATTTCCACAAAGGTGCATGATAGCTAGTGTTATACATTTTCAAGAACAGTCTGCCTAACAGTTCTCCTAAGACCTTAGCACACATTTAAGCCAGAGAGTGTAATACAGTTGCAAATTCAAGTACTCCAGAAAAAAAAAAAAAAAAAAAAAAAGAAGGACAAAGTGCTTTTTGGGCTCAGAAGATCTTTTCTTTAAATGCCTGTTACTTTTTATTCATCTACTGCATTCTAACAAATAGTACTATCCTGCTGCAAACATTCCTGTCATTTCTATCCTGCAAGTGCAATGCATACCTTGCAGCATTACTGTTTCAGTTGCGAATGTTGTCCTCTTGCCCCTGACAAATTTCTTTTTGCTGTAATTTCCAGCTTCATATCCTGCAACAGTAGTTTAAGTCACTCTGTTCTCTTGATCAGGCTGCTATTTCTATGCATGTACATCTAAGCTCTCACTTTTGTGTAGAAAGTGTACTATTTACCTGACTTTTCCATCCTAAAAAACTTTCTCCTAACTGATTATCCATTAATAAGTCAGTATCTCTGCATCTTCTTTTCCTTATTATATCCAGAAGGGAATTTCTTCCTCTCTTAGTTTAAAACAACTTGAATACAGCAGGATTTTCTAAGAGACTAATTGTCATTACCCTGACTTTGAGAGGACTTTTTTTTTTTTTTTCCTCCAGTGACTAACTGCAGGTCAGCAATTGAGCATCTCTAGTAAACACCCATACTTTGTAAGTTCCTGAGTCACCCTTTGATTTTCAACACCTTCCTACTATCTTTGTCCTCTTTCACTAGGAATAGGAGCTACTTCAGGTACTGCTTGCAACTGCCATGACTTGGCACAAGTATCCTTGATGAAAGAATTTCAAAGATTTCAAAGAATTTCAGATTATCTTTTGGTGTACACCAAGTCACAATTCATCAAAAAGTTTTTTCCTTATTCCTTGCAAAAACCTTGTCAGTCTCAGGTTTGTACCATCTGCACTAGCACCCAGCAAACAGCTCACCATTCTTATTTTTCAGAATCTGTTCTTAAGACAGGACCATCAACCTTACTTGACAAAGAGCCTCTCAGTTGCTTACATGACCCTTAGGACGTACTTGACTTGCACCTGCAGTCATTACCATCAGCGTCCTTTCTCTTTGAAGGCCTGCATCTCCTTTCTGCAGTCTCCAGTGCATTACTGTATGCCTAGGGCCCATCCCAACCCACTTCTAATGACTTCTTTTCCTAAGTACCCACTGCTCAGCATAGGTAACAAAAGCTTATGAATGATATTTGTCATCTTTAGAGCCTTGGGTCATGCAAAATTCTTCATGAAATTTATAAAAAGACATGACACACTTGAAGAATGTGAAAGTGCCAAAACAAACTTGTTTATAACACGTTTATTTATTTCCTCCCACAGGGTTATTTTGGAAATCGGTAGTACCTATGCTTGGTGCATGCTCTCCACGCACAATCACACAACAAAACACAGGCAGCAGAGCACAGGCAGCAGTTTTGCTGTGCTGCCACTGCCCGGAGGGGCACGGAGCTCGGGCAGAAACACAGCTGACAGCGCAGCGAGCCGCCTACCTGGATCATTTCCATCATCTCGGCGGTGATGATGTCCTTCTCTATCATGTGCTCGATCAACTCCTTCAAGACCAGCTGCTTCGCCAGCATCACCCGGTTCTTCTTCAGCGCTTCCTGGTGACAGCGCTGCATGCCGCACGCCCCCAGCATCCTACCTGGGTGCCCCACGAGGGGCCTCCCCGGGCAGGACCCGCTCCACACGCGGCGGAAGAGGCCTCCAGCACCCGCCCCGACGGGCCCTGCCGGGGAGCTGCGCGCTCCCCCTCCCACCGCCGGATTCCGAGGCCGCGCAGCGCGCGCGCGCTCCCGCCTTCCCGCGCTCCCGGCAGCGAGCGCGCCGCGGGCCCAGAGATTCAAACGGCACCGAGTCACGGCGCCTGCGCATGCGCCCGCCCGCCGGGCCCCTGCCCCTCGCCGTGCGCGTGCGCGGGCTGGCGCGCCCTCACGGGCCGGCGCGTGCGTGCTGGCCGCAGCGCGGGAAGGGCCGTGGTAAAATTGGCCCCAGGGGAACGGGCTCCCAGAGCGCCTGGTGGGGGCAGAGAAGCCCGAGTCGGAGCAAGATCGGGTTAACGGAAGGCGTTGCAGCAGAAGTAAAAGCGAAGGGCTTAATTAGCGTTGAGTAAGAAAAAAAGGAAGAAAAGTAGCACGCAGGCCGTACAGACAACACTTGAAAGAGATAAAGAAAACAAAACCCTGGTGTTCATAACTGGTGGCTTTCTTCTTGTCTTTCTTTTGGCTGTTTTTTTTAATCTGTGCTGGTCAACTGAATTTCTTCCTGACACTGAGAGAAGTCCTGGCTGCCTACCTTAGGCATAACTATTCCCGTGTTATACACCTGTATTGTTGTTTATTGTGGTTTATTCTTTTGCAGGTGCAGGAAGCAGAGGACACCTTCTGAAACATGCAGAAAATGATAGATTTTTTAAAAAAATCACCAGCAAACTTGTCTCATATTGCTTTTATGACAGGTTTCATAGCTGATTCGTCATTAATGGTAATAAAGAGATTCAGACGTACACTTAGAAATTGAACTCATCACTTTTTTTTCTAAGCTAAGTTTATCAAAAAAGCATGATGTAAACAGGTATAAATCATGGCTTTGTGAAATACATGTTTTGAGAAGAAAAGTGAACAATGCCACTAGGTGTTTTTTATGTAGTCTTGTTTATTAATAAACAACATACAAAATGTGTTCTTTCATCTGTAAAGAATCAAACAATAAAAAATAATTTACTTGCTTTTAGCCTATGATATGAGTTAAAAATTATGTACATATATGAAACAATGCTGTGATGATTGCTGCCTGCAGTCATAAGGAGATCTGGATGACCATGTTTGTTTTTTCTTGTTTGTCTTTTAATTTGGACATTCACTGGACTTGAGTGTCTCTTTGCTCACTGCAAACTACTTTAACAGGGTCTAACAGTTTAACTTGCCCATTTTAAAAGACTGAACAGCATCACTAATTGATGAAAGCTAGAACCTGGCTCCAAACCAGAACTGTCAAGATGAAGACCACCAGAGAGCACCTGACCACCTTTGTGACTCAGGTGCTCTCTGCTACAGTCACAGCCTTGACAGACAGACTGCCCCTCTCCAGGTACCAGAGAGAAATGCCTATGCATGGGGTTATGGTGAACTTTGAGTATTGACCTTTCTACACAAACATTTGTTGTGATGACAAAATATCTCAAGTGATCTCTTTGGGCCTGTACTATAACAGAGTAATAAGCCCTCCTGTACAGCTGTCAAAACTGGTGGTCCACAGAATCACAGAATGGATGAGGTTGGAAGGGACCTCTTAAGATCATCTAGTCCAACCCCTTGCCAAGCAGAATCACCTAAGGCACATTGCACAGGATGGCATCCAGGTGGGTTTTGAATATCTCCAGCAGAGAAGAAGGCACCACAACTTCTCTGGGAAACCTGTTCCGGTGCTCTGTCACCCTCACAATAAAGAACTGCCATCTCATATTGAGCCAGAACCTCCTATGCTTCAGTTTGTGCCCATTGCCTCTTGTCCTGTCGCTGGGCACAACTGAAAAGATGCTGGCTCCATCCTCTCGACACCCTCCCCTCAGATACATATATACATTGCTGAGGTCTCCCCTCAGACTTCTCTTTTCCAGGCTAAACAGGCCCAGTTCTTTCAGTGTCCTTGTACGACAGGTGCTTCAGTCCTCTAAGCATCTTCGTAGTCCTCCTCTGGACTCACTCCAGTAGTTCTATGTCCCTCTTGTTCTGGGGAGAGCAAAACTGGATTCAATACTCCAGGTGTGGCCTCACCAGGACTGAGTAGAGGGGTTAGGATCACCTCCCTTGACCTGCTGGCAACACTCTTCCGAATACAGCCCAGGATCCTTTTTGGCCACCAGGGGACATTGCTGGCTCGTGGTCAGCCTGCTGTCCACCAGGACTCCCAGGTCCCTCTCTGCAGAGCTGCACTCCAGCAGGTCAGCCCCCAGCCTGTACTGGTGCTTGGGGTTATTCCTTCCTAGGTGCAGGACCCTGTGCTTGCCCTTGCTGAACTTAATGAGGTTCTTCTCGGCCCAACCCTTTAGGCAGAGGTTATCTCATTGTTGACCTCTCTCACTGGAATAAAAAATGGTGGTGTCTTCCTTATGTTCATCACCTGCAGGCAGTATAGGATGAGAACATTAAAAATAACACGTCATTTCATAATGCCACAACTGCTGTGAGGTTTTCAACCTCGAGCTGGTTGGCAGCAAAGTGATAGGTATTAGGTAGTGCCAGCTTCCAAATGTATGTAGCCACCCTCCTCTCAATGTTAGCACAACTGAGGATGTGGTGTGAGTCCAGCAGAGGCGTAGCAACAAGCAGCACAGATCAGAAATTTGTGTTGCTGCCAAAACTTTTATAATCAGGGAACTGCAGTCTCAGTCTCCAAATAGGAAAGTTAGGGCGGTTGATTATCACAAAACTCTCAGTGTTACTGTTTGCACAGGCAAACAGTAATGCACAGGCAGAAACTACTCAGAGCTGTTTCTGTTCCTCCCCTTTCCAAGGCAGCTTGTCTTTCCTTATGATTCGCTCTTCTCCCCCATAAAGATATATCTCCAGTTTCGGTTGTTGCTGTATGTCACGCAATTTTCTCTTCAGTGACTTTGCTTATTTTGTGCCAAGATGAAGCATCATGGTATTGCACTGTATGTATGTAAATTGTGCAAAGTTTGTAGTGAATGTAGATACTATGTCTGTAGTTCAGCTCTGTTTCACGGCATGATAAGACAAACTTCACCCATTTGAGGCATGAAAAAAATCAGCTCTTTCACCTTCCCTCCAGGAGAACCATGAGGTTCAGTGCCTTCATAGAAGGTGGAATTAATCATACTGTGGAGGGCTGGAAGACATCTTCAAAGACCTCATCGTTGATGGCAATCTCATAAGCAGGTGGTGGAGTGAGTGGCTCCAATGGCTCAACCCTGTCTGTAGTACCTTTCACTTCATGGATGTCTGAAGTAATTCGCAATCTTGGGGGCAGCGCCAGCTGCAAGTGCATCCTGGAGCCTGTATCTGTCTCAGAGGTGCTCCTCGTGTCTGGTGCCACTGAGACCCTGAGGGTTTCCATCACAGTCTCTTCCTGGGCAGGTGATTCAATAGCTACATTGTAAGGGGGGGGTTCACTCAGTGGTGAGGGCACTGAGCCTGGATTGGATGCAATTGTCCATATCGCTGGAACTGACATAGTCATCACCTCCTCGTATGTAGGTGCTTCATAGGCAGCATTCACCCTATGCACAAAAGCAGAATGTCAGTTACGCTGGTTATTTTACTGATTTTTTATTTTATTTTTCATGTAGAGGCTTGTAGTTTGAATAATGTAGAATAGGGGCCATGCTAGAATCTGTAGATGGAACTGAGGCAGGATATTTCATGTGGTATTATCGCATATCATATTCTGTTATTGCATCAGTTCACTTATCCAGCCAGCTTAATACCTTGCTTCCTAGTCTAGAGAGTGTCTTATCTGACCATTTTCCCACACTCAGCAGAATAAGTTAAAAAAAACAAAACAAAACAAAAACAAAAACACACTGTTCAATTCAATGTGTTAGGCTTAGCTTGATATCTATTCATTTAAAATGTGCCAGCAGTTACAATTTACTACAAGGAGTTACTGATTACTAGTTATTTCTCTGAATAAAATAAGACTCTGCTTTTTATCTCTGTTTTAACACATTAGCTCAACGTTCATCAGTATTTAAGAATGTAAGTGGAGAAAAATAAATCATTTCATTTAAACAAGGATTTGCTATTCTGTCTTAAGAAGAATGTATGCACAGAAAATTGTTACTTTAGAAATGTTTTCCCTTTTAGGACATATGTTTAAATAAATAGATACTAGTTTACTTTTAGAATGCCCCAAAACTACCAAAGACAACTACAGAATTTATTTCTCTCTAATCTTTCTAAAAATAAACACAATAACATTTTTGCATTCTTACAACACCGTACATTTCAGAACATCAAGCAAATTATGCAGCTGGATAATGATTGTCTGGATTATAGTGACAAGGAAGCAAACATAAATAAACTCTTCAACTATAGTACACAGATTGTGGGTGAATTAGGTGATAAAGTGCAACCTGCAAACACACATGAATCCAAAAAGATGTGTGAGTATTCAGAGACTCTCAAAATCAGATCCTGTGAAATTGTGTTTTTAAGACTGGAAACACACCCAGTTGCAGGTTCTTTTTTAAAAGTTTGCCAAAGAACAGTTGCTTTGGAGGTCAGGTTTATAGAACTAAACTGAGCTAACATTCAGTATTACCTCAGCATTTTTACTTTTTCCTTGTCTGACTCATTGGCGGCAGGGCTTGATTACTCAAGGGAAGATAAAACTAGGCCTGATCTGTTTAACCTTGGTAACCTTGGAAATAGTTAGTGAATCAGTTCCCAGGAGGAAGAAAATATGTATTGGGCAGGATAAAGGAGATTTATAGCACAGACATTTGTAAGCTATACCAGAGTAATGAAGGAAAACAACCTAGAAAACCTTTTGTCTTCTGAAATGGTTTCTGTGTTTGATTCCCTAGTGGAAGGGCAGCAAAACAAAATGATTTTAAGGAGAGAGAGAGAGTGAGTCACAGAGGAATAACTGAGTTGGTGCTTACCCTGCTTGGCTTTGTCTGTTTGGAGGTACCTCATTTGTGTCATGTCGGTGTCGATTCTTCAAGTAACACTCAACAAACACGCTCAGCAAATAACCAATCAGGCATACTCCACCTACCCCTAGGAAGAAGTAGCCTATTGGGTTAATGTTGGATGAAATGGCTAGCATGGTGACCCCAATGAGAAGAGCAGCAGTGAAAAGAAGCAACAAGGCTTGGCGGATGTTCTTCCAGTGTGACTCTAACCACATGGTAGT